CTCAAAACATTTCATGGTTTTGTCCAGATGTCACTCTGATCAGAATATGAATATCTTCCCTGAAGACAAAAGATGCACTGTTGCACATAATCTGACTACAGTGTTAAATTAGCCAAGCTTCTATTATCTAATATCTAATATAAACAACTCTACAACAGTGGTAAACAACCTCTTGGTGACCTACCATCCTGCAGAGTTTAGCTCCAATCCTAATAAAACAGACCTGATCCAGCTAATCAAGGTGTTGAGGATTGTTTAAAATTACAGGCAGGTGTGTTGAAGCAGGGTTGGAACTGAAGTCTGCAAGAAGGTAAGTAGCTCACCAGGAGCAGTGGTGGCTACTCCTGCCCTATTTGTTTAATAATATGGATGTGGACTTGAGCAGTATAAAGCTGTGCTTATATGGCTACCCCAAAACACACATCCTCCTGGTTGATTGTTAACAGTATAAACTTCTGCACATATAATATTACAAGACACCTGGCCACACTGACATCTTATAGTTGTGTTGAAACACCAAATGCTTACAGAGATCAATTCAATGCAGTACAGCAGGGGTGGGCAAATCTGGCTCTCAGGGTCCATTATCCTGCAGAGTTTCTTTTTCTGGACAAGACAAGGCAGTGTATCTGCATTTTGAAGCATCATATGTGCCAGAACAGTAAATATTTTGAAACATAAATAAGAGGTTCAATGGTTTTGCGATCTTTTTCAACTTTGCAACTATCGGGGAGAATTTTATGTCAAGCTGAGATGCTGTTGTGGTCTCCACTAGTTCAGAACTAATAATTAGTACCAGAGAAACACATACTGTATAGGTGACTACAACACTCAAGTTCACTTTGGTTTTGACTGCATTGTGGAAAAGAACTATCTTGATTAGAACCATGCAACTGAGAAAAAGTATATGAAGGCATTGCTTTGATTGCATCCAAACAAAGCTTGAACTGTTTTCCATTTATCAATGCCACTACCCATTTTCCTCATTTCCAAAGTCCAAACAAAGAACCAAAACAAAGAAAGCACTTGTTTATCAGTGAATTATTAAAAT